GGGGTCCCTAAAATTTTTTGGGGTGGGGGGAAGGAATTTCTTTGGAGGCGTCCCCCCCACCCAAATTTTGGGGACCCTCCCCCCCCCACCCAAATTTTGGGACCCCCTCCCCCCTAAAAAAAAATTTGGAATAAAATCTGTGGAGAATCGAGCGGAGCTTGGTGATTTGGGGAGGGGGGAAAAGGGATTTGGGGGGGGCGTTTTTAATTTTGGGGAGGGGTCTTCGCTCCTTTTTTGGGGTTATTTGATCCCATTTTGGGGTTATTTTGTCAATTTTGGGGTTATTTTGTCAATTTTAGGGTTATTTTGTCAATTTTAGGGGGTTTTATCCTGTTTTTTGGGGTTATTTTGCTGCTTTTTTAAGGGTTTTTTTGCTCCTTTTTGGGTTTTTTACTCCTTTTTTGTTTATTTTTCCCTTTTTTGAGGTAATTTTGCTCCATTTCGGGGTAATTTTGTTCCGTTTTGGGGTAATTTTGTTCCTTTTTAGGGTGTTTTTACCCCTTTTTGGTTTATTTTTCCCTTTTTTGGGGTTATTTTTGCTCCTTTTATGGCCATTTTGCTGCTTTTTGGGTTGATTTTACCACTTTTTGGGGTTATTTTATCAATTTTTGGTTGTGTTCTACCATTTTTTTGGTTCTTCTACCCCATTTTGGGGTTATTTTACCCCATTTTGGGGTTATTTTGCTCCATTTTAGGATCATTTTACCCCTTTTGGGACGTATTTTACCCTTTTTTGTGATGTTCTACCTCCTTTTGGGGTTATTTTTCCCCATTTTGGGTTTTTTTTTTACCCCTGGGAGGCAGAATTTACCCCTTGGGGGGGTCGTTTCTTCTTTTTTTGGGGTCATTTTACCTCTTTTTGGGGCAGTTTTATTCCCGGGGGTCCCGAATTTACTCCCGGAGGTTCCGAATTTGCCCCCGGGGGTTCCGAATTTGCCCCCAGAGATTCCGAATTTACCCCCGGGGGTCCCGAATTTGCCCCCGGGGGTTCCGAATTTGCCCCCAAAGGTTCCGAATTTGCCCCCAGAGATTCCGAATTTGCCCCCAAAGGTTCCGAATTTGCCCCCAAAGGTTCCGAATTTGCCCCCAAAGGTTCCGAATTTGCCCCCAAAGGTTCCGAATTTGCCCCCAAAGGTTCCGAATTTGCCCCCAAAGGTTCCGAATTTGCCCCCAAAGGTTCCGAATTTGCCCCCAAAGGTTCCGAATTTGCCCCCAAAGGTTCCGAATTTGCCCCCAAAGGTTCCGAATTTACCCCCAAAGGTTCCAATTTTACCCCCGGAGGTTCCAAATTTACTCCCGGAGGTTCCGAATTTGCCCCCGGGGGTCCCGAATTTGCCCCCAGAGGTTCCGAATTTACCCCCAAAGGTTCCGAATTTGCCCCCAGAGGTTCCGAATTTGCCCCCGGAGGTTCCAAATTTGCCCCCGGAGGTTCCGAATTTGCCCCTGGAGGTTCCGAATTTGCCCCCGGAGGTTCCAAATTTGCCCCCAGAGGTTCCGAATTTGCCCCCAAAGGTTCCGAATTTGCCCCCGGAGGTTCCGAATTTGCCCCCAGAGATTCCGAATTTGCCCCCAAAGGTTCCGAATTTGCCCCCGGGGGTCCCGAATTTGCCCCCGGGGGGTTGAATTTGCCCCGGGGGGGGCAGCAGAAGCCCCCTCCCCAAAGAACGGGAGTAACTCGTACTAAAATAGTCGCTTTTATTCGTTAGCAAAATTAGTGATTGGGGGGTTATTTACAGGCAACCCCCCCGCGGGGAACTGGGAGGGACTGGGACGAACTGGGAGAGACTGGGAGGGGTCTGGAACTGGAACTGGGAGGGACTGGGGGGAACTGGGAGGGGTCTGGAGCTGGGTCTGGGGGAACTGGGAGGGACTGGGACAGACTGGGAGGGGTCTGGGAGGGACTGGGAGAGACTGGGGGGAACTGGGATGGACTGGGAGGGAACTGGGACTGGAATGGGGTGGAACTGGGAGAGACTGGGGGAACTGGGA